TAATCCAAGACAATGCCTGATGAGATGATTTCAGTTTCCAAGCTCCTTGACATATAAGTTCACTGAATTCATAAATGAAATGTACCAAAGTCATTATTTTTTTTCCTTTATAAGTGAGGGTGACAAGTCCAATACAGTGGCTTTTACAACTATCAGAAGCATTGGAGAAAAGAAACTTATATTTTCTTATATTTATTGGACCAGTAGCTGTCTGAACTTAGCAAGAAGTTCAAATACATGTGTTTATTCAACACAATGACACAAAAGTTGAACAAACGTAAATAATCATGAGAAGAATATTCAAAATCTGTATTTAGCATGTTACATGGAAAAGACTTACAGTTTACAATACCTCCCAGTATTATAGCCATTTTACTGTTCTTTACAGTTGTATGTCACAGTTTAGTGATTTAATATGTTAAATTTTACAATCTTTCTCAAAGAAGAAAGAAATCAACAAGGATACACCAAGCAGATGGACACAGAAAAATGCAGTCAAGAAGCAATATTCCTTCCAAAGAAGTGGCCAATAGAGCCACATACACCATGAATTGATAGACACCAGAGTTTGTAAGAACAAAGGCCTAAGAAAGATGACATTGCAATACATAACAGTGATGTCTAATAGGACTCATGAACCATTAAGCATTACCTCATCCTCCAGAAAAAAAAATGCCAATAGACCAGGAAATTGTATGGTTGAAATCACTGTGGCCTTGGCCTTGGTACTTCTAGTGGCAGCTGTAGACCTGTAGCCAAAGAAGGTCTGATCCGGCTGTTCTTTCTGCAATTATTAATGAATATCTATCTAAAGAGATCAGAGAAGAAACCAAGTACCAAAAACATTGCTTGGGGGGGGGGGAGAGAGAGAGAGAGAGAGAGAGAGAGATTATAAGCAAACTCACAACTGAATTATTCATAGTTGGATCTTTGACTGGTATTGCTTTCTTTCTGTGGTTTTTCTTCCTCTGATCAGTGGAATTCTGCAATACAAGCTTTGTAGTATGTACTGACTTAGGATCTTGAACAGTACTTTGTTGGAGCAGAACCTACTTCTTTGTGATGATCAACTCAATTTCAGGTTTTATCAACTTTGCAGAGGTTGATTTGGCCTGGTTTTGACCAGTATTTTCTAAACATTACTGAGTTTGTCAAAAAAAAAAAAGTTTAATATTAACAACCCAGTAAACAAATGACTGATCATATGGTTCAATGGTTTGCCCAGTTGGGTCACCAGGCTGTTGACTTAACATCACTGGAAGCTCTTTGCAGGTCTCACTAGTCACTACCTGGGAGCTAATTCTGTATTTGTCACATCATTCATAGACCTTGGTATTGAATATTAGCCACTTGCTCTGCAACCAACAAATTGCCAGCAGTCACATCATTCAAATGGTTTYACACTTTTTTATTGATGTCTATATCATACATCTTATATTTTGTTTCTTTTTGTTTTATGACCTTTATCTTTTTTGTCTTTATGAGTTGTGAAAAAGTTCTTTACATTGTGCAGCTTTGGGATGGGTTCACACTTTTTATATTGATGTCATTCTTGTTCATTTGTTATTTCGTATTCTTTCTCATACTATTAATCCAATGCCTTTGATTGTTACCATTAAAAAATTTATGTTTCTTACCTAGATTTTATAAGTATTTGAGATGTTTTACTTTCATGTTATAGACATGGAAAAGGTTGATCAATCTATATGCTTGTTGTAACATGATTTGTTTATTAGTTTCAAAGAGTTCATGTAACACAGCTGAGGGGGTCTATAACTAGAGGCTTCAGAATTTGGCTCTTACTCTTGATAAGGTGTTTACCTTTCTATATTGTTACTTAAGAGGGAGGTTCTCTCTCTCTCTCTCTCTCCCCCCCCCCTCATTGCTTGTCTTTCATTGTGATCTGAATTTTATTGATACGATTGTAATTCATGTTAATAGGGGTAAGGTATGTAATGAGAAGTGTATTTGGTGACCCAAATAAAGCTCCACCCCCACTGGAGAAGCTTAGTCTTGAAGCAGTAGTTTCAGTCCTATGGAAAGGGGAAGGATCACTTGTTGAAGTTAGTCCAGTGCATGGCTCCTCATATGGAAGAGGGCTTGTTGAATGACTTAAAAGAGAAGATTCTAGAGCATGACCCTTCTTGATCTGTAGATCTCCGAAGAGAACTGCAAATAAGCAGTGTGGTTTACTGTCTCTTACAGCTAATGTTTATAATGATTTATGATTGTCACTCATTATGTTGAGGGCCCGCGAATAGGATCTCGTCACGGGTCGGTCCACGGGGAAAACCTCATGTTTTCCCTTGTTCCTTCTTGCTCTTGATGAACCTATTTTGGCGCCTTGGTGATTTGTTCAAGAGACCCACTCTCCTAACTCACTTCTTGACTGAATATTCGATATCTCATTCAGTAATGGTGTCTCTTTAAATAGGAGATTATAAGAGTCCTAATCCTAGGGAATCTCCTTGCTGAATAGGGAGACTTCTAGATCTATCTTGATAAGGATAACATAAGTTAATCTTAATCTAATAAGATAAGATAATCTAATCAATTAATAAGATAAGATAAGAACAAGTAAGATGGTATAATCTAATCTGGATAAGTTTATTGTTGCCGAATTGGGTCGGATGAGAACATTGAATCACTGTTGCTGTTGTCGGCGGTGATGATACTTCTTCTCGAGGAATGAGTCCATAACATTACTCCTCTCCTGGACTACGAGCTTGTCTTCAAGCTCAAACTCCAGATACGTGACTTGGAATTCTGTTAAGGGAATCCAGGGCCCTAGATTGGGGAACAAGTTTGCCTTCTTTCAAGGGTGGCAGGGGGGACTTGGTCTGGAGGAACACCCGTAAATGGTTTCAGCTAGGAGATGTGGAAAACATCATGAATCCAACTGTTCTCCAGTAATTCCAGTTGGTAGGCCACACTACCAATCCGCCGCAGAACCTTGAAGGGGCCATAGAACTTAGGTGCCAGTTTCGGGGCAGTCCTGTGGCGCAAGGAACGTTGCCGATAGGGTTGGAGTTTTAACCAAACAAGTTGTCCTGGTTCGAACGACAATTCCCAATGGTGCCTGTCGTAGGTGAGCTTCATGCGGAGCTGGGCCTGCTGTAAGCGAAGGTGCACGTTGGCTAGGAGGGTGTCGCGTTCTTGTAAGGAGTGATCAATTTCTTCCAAACGAGTATAATCGAGCTCATAGGACAGTAAGCGAGGGTCCCAGCCATAAACGATGCTGAAAGGGGTCATGCCGAGGGAAGAATGGTAGGCCGTGTTGTAACAGTACTCGGCCCAAGGAAGCTAGTCCACCCATCGTCGCGGTTGATCCCTTACAAAACAATGGAGGTACATCTCGATCGTGCGGTTTACCACCTCCCTCTGACTATCGGTCTGTGGATGATATGCTGAAGAGAAGGCCAAGGTGGTGTTGTGTAGCCGAAATAATTCTTTCTAGAAGGCATTAGTGAAAACCGGGTCCCTATCGTTGACTATGGATTCTGGTAACCCATGTAAGCGGAAAACATGCGTAAAGAAGGCGAGGGCAATTGAAGTGGCACTATACGGATGTGATAGAAGAATGAAGTGGGCATATTTAGAGAAGCGATCCACCCCCATGAAGAGGATTGATTTGCCGCCTACCTTGAGTAGCCCCTCGATGAAGTCCATGGAGATGTCGGCCCAGATCTGTGTTGGGATTGAAAGGGGCTGAAGGAGGCTTGCTGGGTGCAGGTTTTCCCATTTATGCTGTTGGCACGTGGAGCAATGTTGGACGAAATCCCGAATAGAAGTCTTCATTCCTCGCCAATGGAAATCAGCTTGGACGCGGTGCAACGTTTTCTGAACGCCCTCATGGGTGGAGTTATGGATGCTGGCGATGATGGTGGGAATCAATGGGGAGTCTAGCGGAAGGTGTACCTAGCCTTTATACAGTACCAACCCGTCCTGAAGTGACCAATTGGAGTCGGCAGCGCCGGACTGGATCTTCTGAACCAGGAGCGACCATTCCGGAGACTATGGCGTTGCCTTCTTGATGTCGTCTATTAGAGAGATCCGGGGTTGGGAAATTCCACACAGAGCCATCATGTCTTCATCGCGCCTAGACAAGGCATCAGTTGCGCGATTTGAGGTTCCCGCCTTGTATTCTACCTGGAAATCAAACCCGAGCAGTTTGCTAACCCAATGCTGCTGAGGGGAAGTGGTGAGACGTTGCTCCAACAGGTATTTGAGGCTATAATGATCAGTTTTGACGACGAACGTCTGCCCCCACAAGTACGACCTCCAATGCTGAATGGCTCGAGCTAGGCCGATTAGTTTGCGCTCATAGGCTGGAAGTTTTAGATGTCGGTCGGCCAGTCTACGACTGAAGAAAGCAATCGGGTGCCCTTGCTACTGCAACACAACCCCGATACCCACTCCCGAGGCATCGCACTCGACTGTAAATTCGAGAGCGAAATTTGGTAATTGCAGGACTGGGGTGGAAGACAAGGCATCTCTCAGTGTCAAAAAAGCTGCATCGGTTGCGTCGTCCCACTGGAAGGAATTTTTCTTTAACAGGTTGGTTAACGGGATAGCCAACAGTCCATAATTCTGTACAAATTTGCGATAGTAACCCGTTAATCCTAGGAACCCGCGTAAGGCCTTGGCGGATTGAGGCTTGGGCCATTCCTTGATAGCCTGAATTTTGGAACTATCAACCATCACACCTTGCCCGTGGATGACGTGGTCTAGATAAAGAACCTGCCGCTCCCCGAAGGAGCACTTGGACCGTTTTAGGAAGAGTTTGTGTTGGCGTAGAAGCTCAAAAACAGTCCGCAGATGGTGCACATGCTCTATCCATGATTTGCTATAAACGAGGATGTCGTCAAAGAATACTAAAACAAATTTGTGCAGATGGGGCTGAAATACCTCGTTCATCAATGACTGGAATGTGGGTGGGGCATTGGTGAGACCGAATGGCATGACTAAAAATTCAAAGTGGTCGTGGTAGGTTTGAAAGGCAATCTTCTTCACGTCACCGGGAGCCATGCGCACCTGGAAATACCCGGACCTGAGGTCCAACTTAGAAAAGTACTGAGCACCATGTAGCTCATCCAGTAGTTCGTCCACAACGGGAATAGGGAACTTATCCTTGACTGTCTGGTTGTTGAGCTCTCTGTAGTCAACACAGAACCTCCAAGTCCCATCCTGTTTCGCCACCAACAGAATCGACGAAGAGAAGGGGGAGTGGCTCTTGCGTATGATCCCTTGGTTCAGCATCTCTGCACATTTTTTTTCTATCTCGTCCTTCTATAGGTGAGGGTAGCGATACGGCCGGAGGACGACTAGTTCTGAACCCGCCACCAGAGGGATTTGATTGTCGCATGCTCGGGGAGGAGGGAGTCCCTTGGGTTCCTGGAATACGTTTGAAAACTCGGCGAGGAGTCTTTCCATGGCCGTCGGTTCTGTCTAAAGTGCATGGACCTGTGGTGTCTTCTCCTTAACCCTACAACCGTGCCAAGAGACTTGCTTCCCATTTAAGTGGAATGTCATTGTGAGTGCGCTGAAGTCCCATAAAATCGGACCTAGGGTAATCAACCATTTGACCCCAAGAACAATATCGAACCCATCCAAGGAGAGTACGAATAAATCAGCAGGAAATAGTTTAGGGTTGACCTGTATCTGGACATTCTTACAAATTCCCAGACTGTGAACTCTTTCCCCGTTTGCAACGGCTACCTATAGTCGTGGCCGGAGTTCCATTGGTAGTTTTAACTGTAGGGCGGCATGCTCACTTATGAAGTTGTGGGTGCTCCCTGAATCGATGAGTATGCGCATTGGATTACCTGCTATCTGTGCCTGTAACCGCATGGTCTGAGAGGTTTTTATACCGGTGATCGCATGGAGAGAGATCTCCGGCTCGAATACGACGGGTTCTTCTTCATCCTCCTCCTGCTCATCTACTAGGAGGCAAAAAAGCCTTTTGCACCTATGTCCTGCCGAGTAGAGGTCATCACAGTTGAAACATTGGCCTCGCGCTCGGCATTCTGCCATTTATGCCCTGGTCAAATGCTTAATGGGTGGAGCCACCATGTTGCTTCCTACTTGTCGCCGATCTAGAGGCATTGGTTGTGTGAGATCTCAGCTCCCGGCCGGTTGCCGAAGAAGGGATCGCTGTCGCCGATTTCGAGGTTGCCCATGAGTTCGGCGGATGTCCCATATTGTAGGTCCCGCGGCTGAGTTGCAGCTTGCGCTCGAATGCGCGGGCTAAGTTCATGGTTGTAACCAGATTTGGGGGATTCTGCATTTCTACATCCACCCGTAGGGGTTCTGCTAACCCTACCATGAACATGTCCACTTGTTGGTCCGGTCGAATCGCGAGAGTTTGGAACTGGCGCTGGTATTCAGCCACTGTGCCGGTCTGTTTAAGGTTAATCAGTTCGCCTAGGGGGTTACTTGTCAGTGGGGGTTCGAACCTAAGAAGGCAGTAGGACTTGAACTAGGGCCAACTGAATTGTAGTAGCGGTGGTTGGAAGACATGGGGAGGGAGAGAGAGAGAGAGAGGGAGAGAGGGAGAGGGAAATCGAAGGCCGCTACTGAGATAGGACCACTGTTGAGCAATGGTGGTGGCAGGAAGACAAGGAGAGAGAGAGAGAGAG